AGGCGGGGGAGGAGGGTGTCTGTTTAGCACGCAATATTATGTCCTTTTTTACGTTTCTGTGTGAGTGCGCCTCACCTTTATAACACCATTGCCATTCTAAATGACCGGGACAAATTACACTCCCCTCCCACAACCACCAACCCCTTCCTTCTCCTTCCTCCTCCCTCCTCCTTCCTCCCTCTTTCTCTCTCCTTCCTCCTCCCCTCTTTGTCTTCATCCGTCCTTATCCCCCCTCTTCTTCCTACTCTCCTCCCTCCTCCCATTTCCTCTCCCACCACCCCACCTACCCCTTTCCACACTTTGTCAACTTTATTTACGTTCACAGACAAATTTCCTGGGTACGGAGCAGTTATAGTTGTTGGCCTTCAGACTCCAAGGAAACATCTCCACGCAGTGGTCCCAGTCAAAGTCTGGCTGGTCTTTTGGTGAAAAGGGGGAGGGAGGGGAGGGGAGAGGGGAGAGAGGGAAAGGAGAGAAAGGTTGAGGGAAAGAAATAATAATATATTTATATGCATGTTATTTACAACTGTCAGAGAGAAATGATTATGATATCTTCAGATAACAGTCAAAGAGGAATATCTCTACACATATTGGGGGGGGAGACAGGTGGGGGAGAGGGGAGGGGGGTGTAATGATAAGTATTATAGATGTTATCCACATCAGTCAGAAAGAAATGTCTCCCCACTTGGGGGAGGGGATGGGGAGGTAGAGAGAAAATGGCGGGAGGGAGGAGGGAGGAGGGAGGGAGAGGGACAGGATAGATAGGAGGAGGGAGAGAGGGAGAGGGAGAGAGGGATTGGGATAGAGAGGAGGGAAAGAGAGTGAGAGAGAAAGGGAGAGGGAGAAAGGGGGAGGGGGGAAGAAAGAAACCTGAGGAGTAGAGAGAGAGAGAGAGAGAGGGAGAGAGAGAGAGAGAGAGAGAGAGAGAGAGAGAGAGAGAGAGAGAGAGAGAGAGAGAGAGAGAGGAGGGGGGAGGGGAGAGAGCGAAGTGAGAGAAATGGGCCCCATGCAATAGTCATCAACACAACCAAGATTATTGAGGAGGCCAGCTGCTCCACTTTGTCTCTCAGGGTTAACCTAGACTGGCTACGATATAACAATCCAGCCCTCGTGCGGGAATTTAACTCATTCCTTTGCGTATCACGGGGAGGACCCTAACAACTATACCACATATAAGAACCATAAGTATACCTTTCCTGTGCGGTGTTGGTATCTGCTCTGATGTGGTTAGCTCCTTCTTTCCTACCAAACATCATTCAGCCTTATTCTGAGCTCCTTCTTTTCTTTGTTTGTTACTTTCTTGTAACACCTCTAATCATCAGCACGTATATATA